AGTTCCTAAATATTAAATCTGTATCTTTGTATGTTGAGCGTGTCTGGTAGTCGGGTCACACATATCCCTTAGTATGTCCGAATATGAATGTTTGTTTATTCTCGAGAAGATGGGGGGGGGGGGGGTTATAAAATTGTCAGATATAAAATACAGTTATGATTACCTTTATTACACTGATACAGGTAAATACTTTGGTTATAATATTGCCTTTATCTTAAGTCTCTTCTACCAAATCCAACGCTTGCCACAAAATGTCGTCCGTCTTATACCCGTCCATATTGACAACTGTATACAAGGAGCATGATGTATTTTTTGTTTGTAATAAGAATACACGAAACGGTCAACCTTGACCCGCTGATCCATTTTAGCACATGGATTTAACGGGAATATGCAAAACAACTTTGACATTTGTAAAATATACTCACTTGTCAAAGTTTGAACCAAGATACCTTAAGAAAGGTTACTAGTGGGGTTTCATTTAAAAAAAAAAATTCTTATAAATCATGGTTTGATATTGTCAATAAATATGCTATCGTTTTTTGTTTTTTTTTAATAATCAATGTTAACAAATGTAGGGTTTAGAATGGGGTGTAAGTTAGTTATACACCTCGGGATATTGTTGCAAGACTTAATTTCTGTCCCTATCCAATTCACCCTCATTTTCTCATTTGGCAGTCAAAATTTATTGCCTTTCATCCCGGTCGGCCCCTATTACATTGTTGTATTTTTTTATTTTTTACTCGTCCTGAGCATGCATGAAATAGTTGCCACTGGATGTTAAGCAACCAACAATCACTTAAATAATTAGGGATTTATTGGAACTCTTTGGTGAAAGATAAGCAAAAAGTCTACATTTCCCAGAGTTGTATTGCCCTTGGTAGTATCGACAAAACTAAACGGTTGATTTGTATGCATAGTTTCTGCGTAGTCTCCTTATTTGTTGTTCTTGTCCAAGAAGCTTTGTCATTTCAGAATACCAACTGTAAACACTGTAAAAAAAAGGTTCTTCATATGTTTGTTCTGTTTTAGTAAGGACGCTTTTAATTATAAATTCACCAGAAAACGTTCTGGTAAATAGCAACAATAAAAATGAACTGAAGTAAAAACAAATTTTCCATATAATGATACCATTTCCTCCTTAAATAGCATAAGGCGAGCACAGCAGGCTTTATTAAGGAGCTTTGTGTAAAATTGGTTAAATACGTTGCTATGCGAATAAATTACTGGAGTACTAACTTCAATTTATTTTCATATTGGCTGTTTACCTCTCTGGAACATGCTAATTATCCGTATATGTATGTAGCTAGATAAACGAATTTCAGGGGGGAAATCCAAAGGAATCGATTGATAGGCAGCAAAGATTAACACTTTTGAAATTACGTTTCTTATACAGACGGAAACCCAGTTGAAATTAAACAAAAGAAATGGAACTATGTGTTAGAGACGGTAAAATAGGCCAAGTTTGTAAATTTGAATTGATTACATCTGTTTCTATGGGCTTTAAAATTTTAATAAATGTGCATCATTCAGTATTTTATGTATCTTATATATGTGGTTTTACTTAAATTAAAGTGTAAAGCTTCGAGATATTTGTAAACTTTTAAATTATAAACAGATTTTTACAAAACAGTCGATTGGGGTAGGTGCAAATACATGTGGATCTTTTTTTTTGTGTGCATAAACATAAATTCCTCCGAAAAAAAGTTCCAAAGAAAGATAATAGATTGGTCTTTTTAAAGCATCAATTTGCATCTCTGCCCCAGGCGACAGATTTTTGGGGGGAAATCCCAAAAATGGGCAATAATTTCATCGAAAAGAAAAAGTCGAGTACACCTATTTTTGTTCAGGCGTGTTTGAGTTGACAATTCTATCTTGAAAACGTATAAAAGAAAAATATTTGATACATCATCTCGCTTCAGATTCTATTATTTTTATACATTTCGGCTATAGGTTGATATAATAATAATTACATTAAAAACTTATATTTCTAAGAAATGAAATATATTGGTCAAGTGAAATATCTTTCTAATGAGTTATAACAACAGAGTAGGTGTGTTCGAATTACATTTTTTTACTAATAGTACTGGACGACAGACTTTACAAGTGGATCCTAAAATTGCATAACTTTAAAATACACTTCATTGTCATCTAGGGAAATTAGTCCCCAACCTCTGAATTTTTTTAGTCTGCCCTTCCACGAAATATTTAATTAGATTTTTTTTTTAATATTTTTGAACTTTCGAAAATTCCCCCTGACAACCGATCAGACAATAATTTTAAGTTGACCAAATGCATAAAAGTACATTAAATGATGCCCAATAGAATGTAAATACATTTGTCTTTTAAGATACAACTGGCATATAAGGATCGTAATGATGCTATGTGGATAAACTGATCGGGTTCCAAGAGCTAAATTGACAGCGCGTCATCACTACAATGGCTACCACTTTTAAGATTATAAAAATTGGGTGGCGTATAATGGGGAGATAATTTTGACGAAGTATAATCCTGACTGTATAGGCAAATTCAAACGGACCATATCCCGATGTAAACATTTGGATGCGAATAGATCGAGCAGACCGCAAAAACATGTACAGAAATCGAGACGACTTTTTGTTAAAATAGTATAAAAAAATAATAAAAATCGTTAAACGGATAATCTACTTTATAAAAATATTTATCTTTAATGTTTGAACCTGCACAGAGGCAACTTTTAGATTGTTATATTCACGAAAATTGGAATTTTCATATTATTGGGCACAACACGGTGGAAATGAAGGGAAAAGCCCACCTGCGCTTTCTCAATAATATTTTTACAGTGTGGTAGGGGTAGCGACCCCGTGTGGTATACTACTTTTCAAACAAATTATATCAAAATTATAGAAAACTTCATCAACTCTAACTCAAAATATGGACAATTTTATGTTAAGGGGTCTTGAATTCTTTTGACAGCTTAAGACATACTAATTGTTAACCTTTTCAGCTGGACCAAATCACTACTTTACTTTAAAAAACGAAAACAACACGTTATAAATTTTATGCGTCTGAAGCGCTTTTCTGGAGTTACCATGACCCATTTTTTTAAAAGTGTGTTTTTCTCATTTTTGTTGCCATACGACGACCTATAGTTGCTGGTATGCATGCAATTTGGACTGTTGTGGATAGTAGTCACATTTGCAATCATTTTACATCTCCTTATATTTTTATATGTATACATACCTTACAATCATCCTATATACCAACTTTAGTTGTTCTATTTACTTAAGAGTATCGGAGTAAGTCAAACTGGTCTAATCGTGAAAACCTAACGCTGATCAATGAACCAGGAAAATGAAGCCAGGTAAGAATCATATATCATATGTACTCTTTACAACCATTCTAAATACTTAACGTAGTTAAATTATTTCAAACAGTATTCGAGAAATGGGCCGTGACATGAACACACCATACACTAACGAACCAATAAACTGTTGACACAGAGATATGTCTCGCCTGTCGGCAGAAAAATCTGAAAGAGACGGTCTGATAGACAGCAATATTGCTAATTAACTAAAGGTTGCTGGACCATGATGTAGAGAGCAGCGCGTCAAAATGATCGCCATACTGAGATGTACTGATAGTAATTCGACTTTTATCATATAAGAAGTCATCTTGACAGTTTTGACTTAAATGATTCTTATCATTTTTGCTCCTGTCAGCATTTCTCCATTTATTGCGGTTTTCAAGAAAAGGAATGCATTTTACCCCTATGTTCTATTTTTAGCTATGTCAGCCATGTTTATTGGCCTGCAAAGACAGAAGACCCCTTTTTTAAACTAGATATCCCAATGATTATTGTGGCCAAGTAGTTTCAGAGAAGATTATGACAACAATGAACAGAAGACGACGATACGCCTAGTGATGAGAAAAGCTCACGTAGCCCTGTGGACAGGTGAGCTTAAAATGAGGTCAAGATCAGATGAACCCAGTCTGATGCACACATTTATCCTTTAAATTATATATGCCAAGCCACTGAATTTACAGTATCAATTAGTTTACCTATTGCCTATGACGAAAAATTAACATTGAAAACAATGAAATGAGGTTATGGTCAGGTGAAGTTGTGAACCCTGCCTAATAGACATGTCCGTTTGAATTTGCTAAGTAACGTAGTTTCTAAAGAATTGATCTTTGCTGCATATCAATCGAGTCCTTAGTAATTTTGTTCATGAACTTGTCTGAACTAGCTGCATCATATGTTTTTTTCATAAATTGTTGTTATAAATTAGGCCGTTAGTTTTCTCATTTGAATTGTTTCACTTGTTCTTGTCTGAGCTTTTTAAAGCAGTCTATACGGTATGGATTTTTCTCCTTGTTGAAGGCCAAACAGTTCCCAATAATTGCTAACATTTACTTCATTTGAACTCTGGTGGATAGTTGTCTTATTGGCAACCATACAACATCTCCTTATTTTTATATGTATACCTTGCAATGATGAAATAAAGTAGTCCTATTACTCATTGTAATACCAACTGTAAAATCATGTTCCCCTGTGAAACCCATCATTTTACTCCTGATAAATTTAAACAGGATTTTTATCCAGTTACACTATAGCACATTGGTAAATGATTCTAGTCTAAACAAATTTGTAGTATTTCATTGGTAAAAGTAAAATTTTCTAACCCTAGTGCTGAGGGCTATTCCATTAAAATGTATGTGGGAGGGTAGGAAGGGAAGTCAATTATTGAATGTGGGTCATGGGTCTTTTTTCAGTATGCATCTATTACCATTATGCAAAATTACCTAAAAAATGGTTCTTGGTTGTAGGAATATTTTGAAAGTCCCTTCCTACCCTCCCATATACATTTTAATGGAATAGCCCTGAAATGGGGAAAATAATTCTGGACAAAGGATGAATAAGATTGTAACCAACAGAAATAACAAACAATAGAAAACTAAATTAGACAACAGAATCTCTTTTAAAAACTTTGGGTAAACTAAATATAAAACTAAGCCAAACACTTGTTTTCATTTTTATTTCATTTTATTGTTTTTATTTTTTTTTTTATCTTCTTTTACAGTAACAATATTGCACAGATCTTTGTGATCTATCAATATAAACGATTTTAAACATATTTTCAATATAAATACATCTTGCAGAACTTCTGCATTGTATGTGTGAACATTTATATTACAAGGAATCCAGTCAAAAGATTAATATGCTTAACATATAATGCTTAATATTTCTCAAAATACTGAAATATTTTAACAGTTGAACTGTTATGAAAATGGTACAGAAAAACTTCAGAACCTTTTTGATACAAAGAAAACAACTTTGATTTGCTAGAATTGTTTTTCTCTCGGTAGTAACTGTTTCGAATAATTCAATTTCATTATATTGTACTGATAAACAAATTAATCTTGTGACTTTTTTCCTTTTTACCCACTTAATAACTTTATAACATTATTTTTCCTCAGATGATTTATTAAAAGGTAAAATTTTCCTTAAAAATAACTTTTCATCAAGTTGGGTAATTTAAATAGTGTATATTTTTAATATAATAATCTTTTGACTATTATACATGAAAAACTTTTATTCATATTTTAGTGTTTAAATAAAAAATGTAGTGTTGTAAAATATAAAATGTAACATCACAGTTCTCTACAAAATCATTTAAGGAGAATAAATATAGACGTTAAAAAAGCAAGTTCTTTTAATTTATCAAAAACTTTAAACATCTGTTGATACATTCAATCATAATATTTTTTCTAATTTTGAAGATAATCTCTATTTTGTAGAGAAAATAATGTCATATAAAAACTGCATAGAATGAACTAATTTACTTAGAACCCAAAATGGCATTGTTTTATTATGCATTCATTTCAATTAAACAATATCAGTTTGACTTTATAAAAGTTAATTAGTCTCAGAATAAAATGCTGTACCACAGCTTATACTTATACAGAAAAAATGAACAAAATATAGCAAAAAATATATCCAATATGAAATAAAACTGAGTAATTACAACTTACATCACAAAAATACACATACTTTAACCTTGAGCAATATCTTGTTTCGACACTAAAAATGCAGTACTATCTTAGATCTGTGAATCTGTCGACTAACAAAATAATTAATGTTTGTAAGAAATTCTATTTAGAAAGGTAAAAAAATTTGTGGATTTTTTTTTATTTTTTTTTTCTCCCATGTATAATTCATTAAATCCACTTATTCAAATTTTTCAAAAGTTTTAAATTGGATCAAATGCAAATATAAATTTCAAGTGAATTTAAAGTCATGGAAACAGATTGTTTTATAAAGTGAATTTCAGGATTTCCAGATGAAGGAACTATAAAATGACTAGTTATTTATGATGTACAATTGTTCAATTTTTCACACAATTTTCCTTGTTTGAAGAAAAAAAAAATCACAGCAAATAATTAAATTTCGTCATACCTTTTTCTTTCTATTTCTGGCATTTAACCATTTTGGGTATAAGCAAACCTGATTAACAAAAATACATACTAAATATAGAACCTATACTTGTAATAAGACCTAATATTTAAGACCAAATACAAAATCATTTTCTTTAAACTCATTTTACTTTCCACTAGAGGTAAGTCTGAAACTTATAGCATAATTTGTTATTAATATTTTTTTCAATAATTTTCTATTTGCAATAAAATATAACACTACAACAGACAAATTATAAAATTCCTACAGAAAGACAATAATCAAATGAAAGGATTTCTGCTTTGACAAATGTGTAACAAAATAACATATAAACAAAAATAACATTTACATAACATTGCTTCATGATCTTCAAACAACTGAGATAAATTTGTGTTACATGTATTATAATTGCATTTTATTAAACTGGCCATTTTGACAGGGAAACACCAAAATGTTAGTATCATTGGACTAGTATCAATAAATGCAGAATTCCTTTGATAAAATGTGCATCCACATCATACGTAGAGGTACACAATGCTTAGAATGCTTTTAATCAGCACAGCAAACACATCATGAATAAATAATTAATTTTGAGATTTTGACCTACTTCAAATTGTTAACCAATTCTATTATATGCTGTACAACTAATTTTGCTTATAAGAAATAATTTCAAAATAATTTGGGTTTTTTTTTAAAAAAAAAAAATGTTTTAATTCATAGTTGGCATAGATGATGCACAAATTACTATCACAATTGGTTAAAACTGACACAAATGTTGATTACAGTAATATGTACAAAAGTATGGCCCAATTGTATTGCTCCTTAATTCAAATGCAACAACAAGGCTTTTATATCACTTTTTATATTCTTTATATTAAAAGCACCAAGACTTGCCTAGCCTAATTCTGTGGGCAATCATATTACGGATGTTGAAATAACTGCTGCCTTTCCATTATAGATCAAAACCACGCCCTATTACCTGCTATCCGTACAGCAGATACAATACAATCTATGATCATGATTGCTATTAAAAACAATTTTTTTTGCTATTATGTACAGCAGATTTTAGTTTGTTTATGATTTCCATTGCAATACAAGGGATATGGCAATCGCGTACAGCAGATTTTTGTCTGTGTTTCTGATTGCCATTGCATTACAATGGATTTTGAAATCGTGTACAGCAGATTTTTTTTCTGTGTTACTTATTGCATCTGCCGTACTGATAATCCATAATAGGTGAAACCTTATATTCACATTATTTGGAATATTAAGTAGAGAATGTATGATTTCTCTTTGAGACATCACTTACGATGAAAAAGTTATTGTTAGAAAACTTAATTTGGATGATTCATCCATACAGCACAAAATATCACCTTTTATTCATACGCCTCAAACAAGTGATGAAGAATTCAATCCCACATACAATGAAGCGACCTATGGTCAAAGTAGATAAAATTTGGCATGGTTGAAAATACTGACTAGCTTGTAAAATGACAAGTAACAAAAAGTTGTAACAGTCAACAAAAACATGGAGCATTTATCTAGTTTGTCATTACAAAATAAGATTTTATCTATACAGAAATGCACATTCAAATCCACTCGTAATAATATTCACATCTCAACGTCTTTAAGAAAATTTACACCTTTTATATGCATAGTTCTAATGACGCACTTTGACAATGAAATATTTTGTAGTGACAAGCTATATAAAACTAAAATATGAAACACAATTGACAATGATAAAATGAAAGTGATTAACAAAATGGTAGGTTGATGAACACATACATACATATATAAACATGAAACAATCTCAGTAAAATGGGGCACTTGATACACTTTACTCTCACTTCACATTCCTAAAACATAAAACTAAAACAAACATGATATGTACAACGCTTTTGATCCCCAGCAGTCATATACAAACTCAAGTAAACATTATAACCTTTTAAAAAATGCCCTGGCAAAAATATATCTAAGAGATGTCATGGATTTCTTTCCCCTTATGCCCACTGCTTACTACTGGTTTTTTATTCATGAATCTACATTTAATCATACACTTCAAATTAACAAGAAAGTTTGGTGTCTTAATTGAATATATTTTATTTTACTTATAGCACTAATAACATACATCATATACATATATATACAGACATCAAATGATATTGGATGGTTCTACTTTAGCATCATATTTTTAATAAACTGTCCTTACGAATACTTGAGATTTATTAAGAACGAATAATCATTCTTATAAACTACCCATACAAATGCTTAGCTTTAACTAAAAAGAATATTTTATAAATGTTGATCTTTTACAGACATTAAGGATATCATCAATGTTCCTGAAAACATTTAGTTATTTCATTACGGATAAGTATTAACTTAAAGAGAGAGGTATAGAATTCATTAGGATTTGTTTTAAACAACTGTAACAGTCAAACAATGAAGTAGCACTTTAAAACTTTATCTTTGGTACAAAATTGTATATCTATTCATTCCCAACAGCTGCTAATCTTACAGACAACCCTTTTCACATGTAAATAAGTATGTGACAGATTTAAGTAGTAAACAAAAAATAATAAGTCTATGAGTATCACTTTGCATGACAGTGGTTTCAGTTGAAATGAATTCTATTGGTTTGGTCTCTGATATATTTTCACAAACAAAACCTAAAGGTATTATATAATATTGCAACAAACAACAAAACCCTTATTTTTTTTTTTAACTTTCGCTACTTAAAAATTTCTACAAGACCACACAAACACAACGATAAATGATATGGTCAAGTAGTACACACTTCACTGAAGTGCCTGTATTTCTTAGGGAAGTTTTCATTCAAGAGATTACTTGTTGTTGTATATTCAATTCAATTACACTTATTCACAACACTGTTAAGAATAAACATTGATCTCTCTCACTTATATAATAAAACATTCATAAAACTTTCTTCCCACTCTCTTTCATAAGTATCACAACTTGATTTAACCTGTGCATAACACAGAATAAGGCTTTTGAATGTAAAATGTAAAGCTAGTTATCCTCTTTTTTTCTAGATGAAAGGCATGTTGTTCCAATTTCACAATTTTCTCTGAATATGAGAAATTAATAATGTACAGAAAAATGTCATAAAGATGGTCTTAATTTACCAAGATGATTATATTTGAAAATAAATTTGATGTGTAGTATTTCTATTGTGTGTACGCATTGGTGTATTAGAAATCAAAAGCAAATTAACAATACTGTAAATCAATAAATGTATTTCAGATTTATGAGAAATTGTTTAAAGTATGAAAAACTTCAAGAAATACAGTTATAATTAAATGTGGCATGATTACCATATGATTTTCTGATCCTGTATTTATAACTATGAAACTGGAAAAATATACCTGCATAAAGTAAATTACTACACTTTATGAATGAATAATTTAACATTACAAATTGATTACCTTCTTATAATAAAATATGACTTTACATGATAAATATACACTATGAATGTTGGTTCATATTTTTTTCTCTAACTTTGTAGTGTTTTTTTTCTTTTTTTTTTAAATTAAGTTTCGTCGTTAAATCAAATTTTTAAATAAATGTAAATTTATTCATGACTTCAACATACATGAAACAAAGTTGCTGAGATTTTTTCAAAGTTTCTTTAAGAATCAAATCCATGAAACGAAACTTGATTAAAAAAAAAAATGTGTATTTACATTGAAACAAAAGTCAGCCTCCATTAATGTAGCATAAACGGTCATCTCACATTTTAAGTTTCATGTCTCTCACTCTCTCACTGTTTAACAGCTCCTACTATCTAGTGCCAGTTGCATTCGTTTGAACATTGTCTCTCCTAAAATTATTGTTAGTTTGTGAATTAAAAGGTGCACTGTTTTTCCGTCTTTTAAAGACTTTACTACCCTGTGGATTGCCGTTTTGATGCCCATGTCCTCTGTAGTTCTTGTTATAATTGTGTCCAACATGTCCATTCGAATGGCCAACAGATTTGCCTTGTCCATAATAGTCATAGCTAGCACCACTTGAGACGGGACGGGGACGATTATTACTTCCTGACCGGTTGGATGAAACACTACTCGAGCTTCCATCTCGTTTGTGTGTAGGATTTTTATTGTAGTCTCTACTACGAACAAATTCTTTACTATGTTGGAAAGATCCTTGTTTTGTTGCAGTTTTACTGCTATTTGGTGCAGTGTTTGTTTGTTTTGTGCAAGATTCTTTAACCTGAACGGTATCAGTTTCTGTTTCCTAAAATACAATATACAAGTAGGTTATATTAAGATGCAAGGTTAACATATGTCTTTAAAAAAAAATATACTTTGATATAGAACAAATGCAGTTCTGCATTGGTGACAAAATGGCTTTTAGAAAATAAACAATATCAAAAAGCAATACATGATGCTGATAATTCTTCAAAGCAAAGGTTTCTGTATCTCTTAACACTTTACATTTCTGTTCGTTGTTTTCAGTACAATCTTTACTGATAGAATCGAATGGTTTGATTTTTATTGTCATTTAGTTTGTTATAGGTCCACCTATTGTTCTGACATTGATAAAATAGAATGATTAGGAAATTCTTCAAATTAATTCCACCCTGCCACTTTAAAATGCTTCTTAAAAAGTCAGAAATGTTGTTACTTGCTACTTCCTAATTTTTTATTTGGTCTCAGCAGTTTTCTTTTTTAAAGAATTTACTTACAAATGATAATAAAGTGTCAAATAGTCTGAGGCTTGTCAATTGATACCAGCCTGATGCTTATCTAGATACATGTCTGCTTTAGCTGACTTGAGTTGTTTTGTTGCTGTCTCATTAATGTTCATCACACATCTTTTACTCATACTATGCATAAAAGTACAGGGTACTTTGCAGCAGTCAGACCAGTTTCTGTATTAATTTATTTTTCTTTTCTATATAGGTTTTGTCCAACAGAAATAACAATACATACAGGTGAAAATTCTGTATAATGTTGACATTTCGGGGAACTTTATCTTTTAAAATGAAGCTTATTATCATTTCAAAACCCTTACTATTGTTTCTTTTACCATGATTTCAAAACTATAAAAATACTTACAGAATCACTAGTCAAACTAGATGTTGAACAATTTGATGCTGAACTTGATGAAGACTTATAAATAGAACTTGAATCTGATTTGTCATCTCTCCCAACTTCATCTGGACTTGCCCTGAAATCAAATCATAGATATTTAGCATGTTTGTTATTAAACTGTACCAAACCATTTCTTCAATATAATAAATAATGTTAAACGATATTTTAAAGGATGTAGAAAAGGATTATGTTATGTTCAATATGAACAATGACTATATAGGATATAAATATTTTGTTTAAAATTTTTTGTATCAGCATTCATTTTATGACATCATAATTAGCATAAATTGTAATTTATCACTGAATTCAAGGAAGGTATGCAAAGGTCAATGGGATTTTGGGATCAGAAACATATAGTGCATGTGTCATCAAAAAAGACTTTTTAACATTATGTTTGTTATAATGAACCATTTTACTTGAATATTTAGTCTGTTGAAATCTGCTCTCTATGTTTCCTAGGCCTAATTGTGGTTGAAATGCAGAATTTTGTCATCTTTGTTCTATTTTCAACCAAATTGATGTGTAACTGGCAAAGCTTTGTAAGAAAAACTTGAAAAAATTATCCTGTTTCACTTAAACCATGGAAGTAATATTGAAAGGAATAACAACAACGCCAGTTCAAAGGTTTCATCTGCGTTACCGCCTATCTTTCGATTACTCGTTAATCAGTTTACGATATGGAATGGTAGTTGATTCTCCACATGTGATCGATCAAATCACTGACACTTTTCGGTCTTTTTCGTGTTCACGGAAAATTACGAACAGACAAGTTGTTGTCGTATATACGTGCGAAGTAACCCGAATAGTCCACTAGTTACATTCCGCTGATGTACCCTGCCGAAGAGTAATTCCTTCAATGTTAATTTTAGTCTAATTTTCCTATTTCTGTTTATTTCGATCTTTTTAAATAGTTTAAGCCGACAGCTAGCACATATGAAATTGGAGAACATGGGTGGATCGTTTTCAATTTTAATATTTACAGACAGTTAAGACGCCATTTCTTAAAAATTTAAGAATATGAGTGTACAAAAAATATGTTTGGACCCTATTAAATATGAATAATCCAAGCCATGCGTGTAAACCAGTCAATTAAAATATTCACAAACGTTTCTATTCTTTAAACTTATTCGTATAAATGAATTTGCGGTTAGGCAGATAGGGTCCAGCTCATTATGTCTGTTTGTTTTTATTTTTGCTGTAGCGTGTTATATTAACTGTTTTAAAACACTTTTTTAAAATAGATATTTACGAACTTATTATCCCGATTTTATATGTCCAGTTTCAATAATGTAATCAATGACATTTATTACATATACATAGATTTAAAATACTTGAAGGTAAATATCCTTTTTAAATCTCGATAAACTTTGCACATTTCAACAGTAAAATCAAAGAGCTGAAAGCTCTAAGTAAAAATGACGCCATTGTCTCTAATATTGGGATATTTTTGATGCAAGTCTTGATTTTTACTTAATTTACCTACTGAATCTTAGGCGACGTTTCAGTTTATGGTAGGTAGGGTGACTGATAGAATAGATATGAATTGTTTCCACAATCTATAGCGTTTTTATTTGTTTGTCAAGATATATATATATATGTGTGTGAAGTGAAAATAACTACTAGTTGTTCTGCTGTACAAAGAAATAGCTCAAGACTACCTCAACAATCTACAATATTCAAAGTAATATGTGAATTTGTTTCCCTTATTTGTAGAATTATTTAACAAAATGATTATGAAGAGCCTGTAGTAAGAAAGCTCTCATACCCAACATAGTCCTTATTCAAGAGATAAGTTACAGGTGACCTAGTGACATAATCACATTGTTATTTCAGTTACCTAAACATGATCAGTTTCTGTAGATTTAGACAATAGTATTGTTATACTAGTTTCACAATTACAAACAAAGTGACACCATTTATACAACTTAATTTCATTGTGAAGAGCATGTAGTAAGCAAGCTTTGAACTTTGTCAATCAGTCATTATTCACTTCTTAAGCTGTGTAAGAACCTTCTTGTAATTGAAAATTGGTCTGCCATGATGATTGATCACGATTTCTACAATATTCTGAGTTCCTAACAAGTTCAAAATTTAGCACATTTGCAATTTACTATACCCAAAGATCAGGAGAAACAACGATTTTGATTGGCTGATCACAGTTGTCTCTCTTGGGAAAAGTTTGAGGAAAGTTCGAAATTGAGAACAGTAGAATTTAACAAAATCGTGGTTTAGAGGTTTTTACACGATCACAATCGTGCAATCGTGACAAGGGGTCAAAATCGAGTATTTCACGCCTGAATCATGCAAGTTGGCAGGTATGACAGGTTAAGAAATTAAAGAATGAAAATTACAAATTTAATTCTGTTCCACTTGTATTTCCAACAATATGATTGAAAATTGTCCGACGGTCACGAAGGTTAATGACCACCATTTTGTACACAACAAGACATATTGAAGGGAGACAACACCATCTGTTATTTTAAAATGTACATTTGCAACGCTGGAGTTGTCTTTCTTTTACCAATGTATGAGCATACAAACATTCACTTTAAGTATGTAAAATACGGAACCGAGTTCGGAATGCGGGTTGGAAGTCTGGTCAATGGTAAAAGAAAATTGACTGCATCATTTTCTAAAAACCTATGTCTTCATTTGTTTTCATTATTTTGTTATAAATCATGTGAAACCTGATCGCCTCATCGTTATTACCTGTTTTAATCGGGATCCGCTTTCAATTAGAAAATGTTTTTAGATCAGTTTAAAACGAAAGGTAATATGCAAAAATATGCAAAAATAAATACAATTTTCCATGTTTAACTGCTGTAGTGTTAACAATTCTCGTCCATTTTTCAAGTTTTTTACATCATTCGATTTCTTTTTGAAGGTAGAAGTTTTATATGATGCAGCGCCACCTTGTTAATTAATAAACTAGGATTTCCCACAGGTGCTTTATCATTACCGTACTCGATAAAATCACATGACTGATAAGAAATTCCAGATGCCATCTTACAACCGCGGTATCACACATAGTAACCAAAGGGGTCTTGCCGCTGAGATTATAATTGGATAAAATCATATGACTTTAGTACAGAGCTCTGCATGCATTAATACATGATAATAAGTCGTTGTTATTCCTTTTAAATATTACTTCCATGGGTAAACACACATATTTGCAATAAGTAATTTTACTTATAATAAATGCTTATGTTTTGAGTATTGAAATGAAATATTGAAGGAGTTGCTTCATTTTTATATTTTACTGGTGAATTAAATAGGTGTCAACAACCAACAAAACTTAATTATTTGACCTTACAATGGCAAACATTAATCCATACAAAATTTGTGGTTAAAAATACAAATGATTCGCATGGCTGGTTCATGCAAGTCATCAAAATTCTCTCCCCTTTTTTGGGCAATGCAATACAAAGATTAGATTTATATATCTGTATGATCAGTGTCTTGTTTTATATTACACTATTAATAAAATGCTTCGCTGGGGCGCAGCTTGATGCGACCGCAGAGGTCGAACCCTGAGCAGTTGGGGCAAGTATGGACACAACATTCAAGCTTGATACAGCTCTGAATATGGATTGTTATTAAATATTTGACACAGCATAGGTTTCTGACACAGAAAGAATGTGGTCTAAGAACTTGAATTTTTGTAATTTACCTATTATGGTCCAATGTCCAAAATCAAAATACATGGTTAGATTCAGCATATCAAAGAACCCCATATATTCAATTTTTGTTAAAATCAAACAAAGTTTAATTTTGGACCCCAACTTGGACAAACTTGAAAACTGGGCCCATAATCAAAAATCTAAACACATGTTTAGATTCAGCCTATCAAAGAACCCCAAGAATTCAATTTTTGCTAAAATCAAACTAAGTTTAATTTTGGACCCTTTGGACCTTAATGTAGACCAATTTAAAAAACGGGACTTAAAATTAAAAATCTAAATACACGGTTAGATTTGGAATATCAAAGAACCCCAATAATTCAATTTTTGATGAAATCAAACAAAGTTTAATTTTGGACCCTTTTGACCTCAATATGAAGCAATTTGATAGCGGGGCCCACAAATAAAAAATCTAAATTCATGGTTAGATTCAGCATATCAAAGAACCCCATATATTCAATTTTTGTTGAAATCAAAAAAAGTTTAATTTTGGACCCCAACTTGGACCAACTTGAAAACTGGGCCCATAATCAAAAATCTAAACACATGTTTAGATTCAGCATATCAAAGAACCCCAAGAATTCAATTTTTGTTAAAATCAAACGAAGTTTAATTTTGGACCCTTTGGACCTCAATGAAGACCAATTTAAAAAACAGGACCCAAATTAAAAATACGGTTAGATTTGGCATATCAAAGAACCCCAATAATTCAATTTTCGATGAAATCAAACAAAGTTTAATTTTGGACCCTTTTGACCTCAATATGAACCAATTTGATAGCGGGGCCTACAAATAAAAAATCTAAATACATGGTTAGATTCAGCATATCAAAGAACCTCATATATTCAATTTTTGTTGAAATCAAACAAAGTTTAATTTTGGACCCCAATTTGGACCAACTTGAAAACTAGGCCCATAATCAAAAATCTAAATACATGTTTAGATTCAGCATATCAAAGAACCCCATATATTCAATTTTTGTTGAAATCAAACAAAGTTTAAATACTGGACCCTATCTTGGACCAACTTGAAAACTGGGCCCATAATCAAAAATCTAAACACATGTTTAGATTCAGCAAATCAAAGAACCCCAAGAATTCAATTTTTGTCAAAATCAAACTAAGTTTAATTTTGGACCCTTTGGACCTCAATGAAGACCAATTTAAAAAACGGGACCCAAATTAAAAATACGGTTAGATTTGGCATATCAAAGAACCCCAATAATTCAATTTTCGATGAAATCAAACAAAGTTTAATTTTGGACCCTTTTGACCTCAATATGAACCAATTTGATAGCGGGGCCTACAAATAAAAAATCTAAATACATGGTTAGATTCAGCATATCAAAGAACCTCATATATTCAATTTTTGTTGAAATCAAACAAAGTTTAATTTTGGACCCCAATTTGGACCAACTTGAAAACTGGGCCCATAATCAAAAATCTAAATACATGTTTAGATTCAGCATATCAAAGAACCCCATATATTCAATTTTTGTTGAAATCAAACAAAGTTTAAATACTGGACCCTATCTTGGACCAACTTGAAAACTGGGCCCATAATCAAAAATCTAAACACATGTTTAGATTCAGCAAATCAAAGAACCCCAAGAATTCCATTTTTGTCAAAATCAAACTAAGTTTAATTTTGGACCCTTTGGACCTCAATGTAGACCAATTTAAAAAACAGGACCCAAAATTAAAAACCTAAATACACGGTTAGATTTGGAATATCAAAGAACCCCAATAATTCAATTTTAGATGAAATCAAACAAAGTTTAATTTTGGACCCTTTTGACCTCAATATGAACCAATTAGATAACGGGGTCCACAAATAAAAAATCTAAATACATGGTTAGATTCAGCATATCAAAGAACCCCATATATTCAATTTTTGTTGAAATCAAACAAAGTTTAATTTTGGACCCCAATTTGGACCAACTTGAAAACTGGGCCAAAAATCAAAAATCTAAATACATGTTTAGATTCAGCATATCAAAGAACCTCATATATTCAATTTTTGCTAAAATCAAACAAAGTTTAATTTTGGACCCTTTGGACATTAATGTAGACCAATTTGAAAACTGGACCCAAAATTAAAAATCTAAATACACTGTTAGATTCGGCATAACAAATAAATAAATGTGATCAAAGATTTTACAAATCTAATGCGCCATACTGTGCAATTAAAGATTACTTCTTGAAATTTTTCAATATTTGAAATTTGAAAAAAAAATAATATTTGAAGAATAATTCTTTTTAATTTCTGAAATCTGAAATGAGAAAAAAATGGCCCCCCACAATTTCTTTTTATCCCCCCCCCCCCTTTTTCCCCCCAAAAAATTCTTTCCCTCAAGATATGGTCATAATCTCAATTCAAATTTACAATGGAGTTGGCAACCATAATTACCCATTTAAATTTACCATAGTGCTAACTTAATCTATTTTATAATAGAATTAATAAAAATATAGTGTCAAATCTTTCATATGGATTTTTTTGTAAAAAAAAAAGATGAAAACATTTGCAGATATTTTTACTGGTCTTCCTTTATAAATATGCATTTCTTTAAACATAATTTAAAAGCAGTGTAAGGGAAGTAACCAAAACGTTGTATTTGGATTACCTCCCTTACACTGTTTTAGATTATCTTTATTGTTCATTAACCATTACTTTATACATAATTTAAAAGCAGTGTAAGGGAGATAATTTCAATGATGTATTTGATTTATCTCCCTTACACTACTTTAAATTATGTTTTGTACTATAGGTTACAATACACCATTAGATTTTATGGGCGCAGCCATTTTATGAGCATAACATGGTATTCAGAATTAAGAGTATAGCTAATCCTGATTGGTTGATATGTGCGCCCGTTATTTTTTGTTATTAGAGACTTCGTGCATTCTGCATTATACCAAAGGCCTAATAAATTATTTTCCTTAGCCCTAACGGAACTGAGATGTCTTTTAAACGCTAGGATGAGACACGTATTTTTAAGTGCAAAATTGATAGGCATGGGAGATAAGTACAAATTACGCTAAGAAAAGCAACGCGAACCTATATTTTTTGGACCAAAAAATACTGTCCTAATAACTTTTCTTTAATTCTAGCAAGGATTCGTTAAAAAAATCAACTTTCTAAAGTCTGTATCTCGAAAAAGGCTATCATTGTCGCCTATGGGGAAATTAATTGTTTATTTTAATCTATACAATGTCGACATTTCTTTATCATAGTGCTCAAAAAGTGTCAAAAACAGTAATTTTACTTGATATTTGATGTGAAACCGTATTTTTTGGTGACAAATGAATTATTGATTAACTAGTTTTTAAGCTATAGTCTGTTTCATATTTGTATTGCGTTTTACCTTAGAAACAAGGGTGGGTTCGACTTTTGACTTACTGTGGAGAGAATATGTCATTTTCTGAACTTCTGCTGATTTGTTTGAAAAAAGCACGTACACGTCTAGAGTTTCAATATACAAATCGATTTTTAAACATGACAATCTCGATCCAAGTGCTGTTATCGAAATTACCAAATTCAGTGAAAATGTACAGAAATGATCCCCTTCGAACATTGAAATGTTCACTCGAATGGCAGACTATAAAAATTAGAATAGGCATGAAATTTTGTAGTTAACGAATAGTTTTCGATGTTTAAACACAAATATTTACACATTTTTCATATTTTGAAATGCTATAGTCTGTTTCAAAAATGTACTTTTATACGAAAATGGTTTCATTTAAAACTGTTGTTCAAAATTCACCGTAGTAGTTACATATTGGATCGGTTTTGGTATCAATATAATCAGTACTTGATGACATATAAATAATCATTGGAGAAAGTGGACATTATCTTCAGGCCCTTTTTAGCAGTACCCGCATTTACTCAAAAAATCAGAAATTTTTTTTTCACATTTTTTGACTGGGGTCACCTCTGATAAAAAATTGTAAAAATTCAGAGAGTAATGCCAAAACGTTTTGAAGATGATTTTTGTGTGGCATATATATTAGTTCATCTAACGAACTATGAATTGCATGATTCTAGAAAGTATTAAATACCGTATAGGTTACAATACACCATTAGATTTTATGGGCGCAGCCATTTTATGAGCATAACATGGTATTCAGAATTAAGAGTATAGCTAATCCTGATTGGTTGATATGTGCGCCCGTTATTTTTTGTTATTAGAGACTTCGTGCATTCTGCATTATACCAAAGGCCTAATAAATTATTTTCCTTAGCCCTAACGGAACTGAGATGTCTTTTAAACGCTAGGATGAGACACGTATTTTTAAGTGCAAAATTGATAGGCATGGGAGATAAGTACAAATTACGCTAAGAAAAGCAACGCGAACCTATATTTTTTGGACCAAAAAATACTGTCCTAATAACTTTTCTTTAATTCTAGCAAGGATTCGTTAAAAAAATCAACTTTCTAAAGTCTGTATCTCGAAAAAGGCTATCATTGTCGCCTATGGGGAAATTAATTGTTTATTTTAATCTAAAGTATTTGTCCATTAACCAGGACAACCTTGTTTTTCCCCCTTTTTTGCCCCTAATTCCTAAACGGTTTGAGCCATAACCCCCCAAAGCAAATCCTAACCATCCCTTTGTGGTATGGAAACTTGTAGTATAATTTCAGAGAGATCCATACACCGTTCCACAGTTATTGTCTGGAAACTAGAAAATGCTCATTTTTGGCCCCTTTTTGGCCCCTAATTCCTTAACTGTTGGTACCATAACCCCCAAAATCAATCCCAACCTTCCTTTTGTGGTATTTAACCTTATGGTCAAATTTCAAAAAGATCCATTCACTTAAACTAAAGTTAGAGTGCGAAAACCAATATGTATTCGGACGACGACGCCGGACGACGACGACGACGCCAACGTCATACCAATATACGACCACAAAATTTTTTTGCGGTCGTATAAAAACGATAACATCTATACCTGTTGCTATCCTGGTCTTTATCTGCAGCTTTGACATTTGCCACACTAGCATAACTTCTACTTGTGGACTCAGGAATAGTATTTCTAGGTACGACTGTATGGAAGTTCTCTTTTACCCACTTTCTATACTCTACTACCTCATCTGTCACACGAACTATTCTTCCCAATATACTAAAATTATAGATACAAAAGCCATAAAGTTAAAACTATTATCTTCCATGTCTCCAATAAAACTTATTCTATTGAGAAATTTTCTTATAATTTCCATACTTTTCGAAACTTACTGTTCAATTGCAAATCAATGTTAAACAAATTTATTAATTTGTGACATGTTTAAAAGACTGAATTTAGAAGTCTATAATAAAAGTCCCACTTTACAATATTTCATATTTTTATAACATTTTCAAAAAATACTTAAGGTTTTCAAAATGATTATTAGAGCATGCAAGCAGCAGAATTGACAGATTACAGTATCCAACAAAATACATCATATTTCTAACTCTCTTAGTTGTATTTTTTTGTTTGTTCATTTTAAAAGATTGTTTACATTATTGTTTACCTTTGATTTGGTTTGGACAAGAAAGTACCCTGAGGTGTTATCGTATAGCTGAGCACCAAGTATGCATATTCAAAAGCATATTTCACTTGCATAGCACCATATGAACTGCGTCCAATATCATTCCCTGAAATATATATTTAAAGCATTATGACTAGAATGTAAGAATCTGGTCCATCAATGGAGTTCAATCTCAGTGAACAATATTTTTTTAAAACTTGCCCTTTCTATTAATATTTATTGTGATGCATTCAAGTAATATAAAGAGCAGTTATTTAAACAAAAAATCAAAATCAAAACCGAAACCGAAAAAGTCTAACAGAATAACCATTGACTTCTAAGACAACTCGTTCATGAGGAGATTGTAACCTTCGTTATTTAGATCGAGTAAATGAATTATAACCTGAAAATTTACAATTAATATGCATTATTGAAATCCTTGAAGCAACAAAACACAGACTACTGGTCGGGTGATAAATGATAACAATTATCCATTTGCGTAAATTACAAATCCATAAAATTATTCAAAATCAATCCTTTAAATACTTATATACAATATATAAATCTTGATACTTATGTAGATATCTAAGTGTGGAATACAATATTACATGGATTGAACATCTCTGGTAAATCTCATAAGAATGGAAATGATATGGGTTTATGTATATTAGACAAAATTCAATCAAATATACAGAAAATATCTTAAAAAGTTCAAAGAAAAACAACTGTCCCTCCTATTCTTCATATTGGTAGTTGTTTGAAGACCTTCGACCATGAAATAAAGAGCTCAATTTTTACAAAATGATACAGTCCCTAGTGTTGACTTAATCAACAAAGTATAATGTGAAACTATTGTTGTGTATGGGGAAACCAACTCTGTGGCATTCATAATCCCCTCCATCTACCAAATGTTGTACCATTGAAGTAACATATTTTTCATTGAATCCTATGTGTACTTAAAAATCAACAATGTTTTCACATACCATGAAATTTGATTAAACAAAGAAAAGTCCTTCCACATTATTAATAACTGTTCCATGTCTTTGAGAAAAAAAATGGGAGGGTAATCCTTCAAAAGCATATAACATGTATAAGTTGGGTGAGACCTTTATACTGAACTCTATTATTTGCTTCCTAAGAAAAGCTTTTATTATCACTATAATAATGTTTGTCAATATATAAACAATCAATCAATCAAATCAATCTGTAAAAATAATTCTTTATTCTAAGGCTGATTTTCCACACTTGATTACCTTTTGTCAAAGGATCCTCAATACTAAGTAGAGATGGCCTATAACCACTATCCATGTTCTTTTGAATTTCTTCCTTTGGCACATAAGAACCACCATTCTTTATTCGAATGCCAGCTTTCAAATAATTGAATGTCCTTCCATATAGTTCAAAACACTCAATTAATAACACTCCTAAATTAGCTCTTGGATCCTTAGCATCTATTCTAGGGTGTAACTAAATCAAATCAAGAAAATAATAATCAAATATGTTTCCTGTTATTTAATTCATGGTCAAATATAATGTACAAATGATGTAAGATTGCTCTGATCATACACCAGACAAGAATTTCATAAACAGTCGAACAAATTATGACAATAAATGATTTCCATCTTTGTTAGATTTGTAACCAGTTGCCAATTTGTGCTACCATTGGAGAAATTTAGGTCTGAAGCAAAAGAAGAAAAACATGGATGGATTGGACGGGACAAATACTTTTTGACAAATTTAAGATTACTTAATTTCCTAAGGGGTAAAGATCCAAATAAAACATGCTTAATAGACCAAAAATTACAAACACTACAAATAAACCATCAATAAATATTTTAAACTGTTTAATTTTGTGGAAACCAAATCTAAATGATCTTTTATGTCGAAGTTTTAACCTAGAAGTATTTTCTAATTTTATTATTGTGTCCTTGGGCTGCTGTCTCATTGACATACTCCATATCTGTGTATTCCCAATTGCTATGTATCTGAAATAACTACCTGAATTAACTACCTCTGAGTGTGAAGTAATAACTTGGCATATTGAAAATTACATCATCATTTTGTTCAAGTTATATATGTGTAGAATTTTTGAATCATTACTATTTCAATGGTTACTGTTCAGTCGGTTGTCCCATGTGCATTAAAAGGTAAGTGAATAAATTGAAGTGACAAATAAAGAGAGATAGCAGAACAAGTTTATATGGTATAAGGTTTTACATTGTTGAAGGCAGTAAGTACAGTGATCTATAGTTGCTTACATCCAAGTCAGTTGGACTCTGGTGGATATTTATCTAATTGGCAATCATGTAAATGCTCTTTTGTTCCGACGTTGGAAAGTTCTGGGCGGAAAGAACTAACTAGCCGAAAAGTTCCAGAGGAACTTATTAACTAGTTACTTTGTTCTTCCTCAGGTTTAAAAGTTCCACCGGAACAAAGTGACTAGTTGAAAAGTTCCAACGAAACTTATCAACTAGTTAGAAAGTTCCTCTTTGGCAAATAAGTCAAAACCAGAACTAACTAACTAGCCCAAAAGTTCCAATGGAACTTATCAACCAGTCACAAAGTTCCATTTGGAGAATTGATGCAAAGTAATCTTTTCAAAGGGGAACAAAAGTGTCTTATATACTGATCCTCATTCTTCCCCCTCTTCATTATTATGGTACTTAATTCGGTCAGAATGTTGCCTTCATAACGGAATAAGTTCTAATTTATTGTCATACATTAATCTGAAATTGATATTTTTAAAAGTACCCACATGAGGAGGGGGGTATTCTTACCTCTCTTGAGGGTACTATGAATACTAAATTTGCATGATAATGCAACTTATTCCGTTTGCTACATTGTTCCGGGACTTTTCAACTAGCTACTTTTTTCCGGAACTTTTCAACTGCACTCGGAATAAAACAACTAGTTGGAAAGTTCCATCGGAACGAAATAACTAGTTGAAAAGTCCCGCCTGAACAAAGTAACTGGCAGAACATAGTGGCTGTTACAATCATACCACTTCTATTTATTTTTATCTTGTATCAATGTAAGAGAAATTAACTTGCTTTCACTGAATTCTGTCAAATGCTGCTGATTAAACTATTAGTTTACCCAGAGATGCAGATAATTTTTTTTATCTGTCAAGACCCAATCCCATCAAGTGTTTGCGAGACCTTTTTTTAAAAAAATAATAAATAGTTCCCAGCTGGATTAAGATACACCTTAAAACCTTGACTAGAACAACCAGGTTAAATAAGGATATGACCATGGGCTGGTTTTATGACTGAAACCACATTCAATCTAAATTATCCTGCAACATCAAATAAATAAATGAGAATGTTGTACTACACTTGCCAATAAGACAACTATCAATCAACTTTATGGATAGTTGTCTTATTGGCATAAAACCAATTAGATCAAAAACAAAGACAATGGCAAGCTAAATTCACGTCAAAACGAATATGTGTTCACACATTAATTGATTTAGCCATCCTTTGTTCCAACTGTTTTAATTCATGCACCACTGATTTGTAATATGGAAATGAAACCCGAGTTTATCGTACTAACAATGTTCTTGTTAAGGCACATGGTTTTCTGCCTGGACGACCCATTGCATGAACCATGTGTCCAAGGGACGCGTCTTGATAACACTAGCTGAGTCTTGTTATCATCATAATTATCCCTCAGCTATCAAAAAGAAGCTGAAAACATGCTTTTATTCAATATTTTTACTGGAAATTTACTTTCGTTTTCATTAGCTGCATCTCTGTAATTACCATGACTCTTTCTCTACGAAATTTCATATCACTCAGTATCATAATTACCTGTAAAAAGCTAATTGTCATGTATATTAGACTATAACTACTAATTCCACCTGTGAACACCTCGTTCAGATCTCTTTGTAAAAGGAACTGTTTCAGGACAAGGACTAGATACTTCAAATTTGGAAAATTTTCCATGAAATTCTGAAATATAATAATCATGATAGTTTTACTCTTATTGCTGTGTGCTGTCAATAATTATATGGAATCACTCACCAATATCATATTTCATGAGAAATATTGTGTCACACTAACTTTAGAGTATGTGTTTCTGCTCAATGAGAACCATGCTTTATATTTTTTTTCATGAAAGCATCAGCATTGTTTTGATTGGCTCAAGCAATTTCTAATCAAAGCAGTGTCAGAGCTGTGATCCAGCCAATTATGTGGCTAGTTAAGACATTTTTTCTGATCTCATTTTCAATATTTTTTTCCTTTATTTTCATTTACATAAATCTTACTATCAAATTTTATTCAATTGATAAAAAACTTCAGCTGCTTCTAAAATAAAAAGCATTTTAAAGTTACCAAATAACTGCAAACTGTTTGATACATAATTGACAAATGTCATTAATATTGTATAATAACAATTGCAGCACTAACCTTTATCAATTTGGCACTTTCAACTGCATTCTGTGTATTGAAACTGATATCTACTTTTATGTCTGTCTGTAGATCTGTGAGTTTTATAATTGGGACCTGAAAAACCCAAAATATAAATTAATAATGAAACCATAAATTTCAACAAAAAAAACTCTACCTAGAAACTTTCAGATTTCAAAGTTAGAAATATTTCTGTGAATTTAATATTTAACAATCTTTTCTCCTACTTCTGTCTAACTAAGTATCTTATATTTGATCTGTATTTTGCTAGGTATACACTACACTTCAATTACTTACCAAATAAAAGTTTATAATATGAAAATAAACCATCTGTTGTTGTTTTATAGCATACTTAAAACATATTATTGCTTTGATGTGTATCTGTCTATACTTCAACCACTTAACAAATAAAACTTAATAACAAAAACAAACAACATATAATTATGTACATGTAGTTATTGTTGAATAGCATTCTTCAAACATATCATTCCTATGATTTTTTTTGTTCAGTTTAAGAGAGTATAAAAAAAAATTTCCAACCACAATAACTTGCCTTTATTTTGACTTCCTGGTGAAAGAAAATCTATAGAAGTGCTCAAAATAAAACAAATAAGCAAATTCAGAAATGATGTTGCATTATCATGAATGGGTCTTTCAATTGTTCCAGATGATATTTACAATTAAGGAAGTTGAATATTTTAATTGATCTATTCATTTAGTTTGACTTTGAAAGATGTTGACATGATCTGTCATTCTGATAGATTAATGACTACTTAATGTCAGGTTGCCTATATAACATACATATCAAGGTCATAGTGATGTGAAAATATCCTGTTTTGTAATAGACCACCATGCACTTTAAGATTTTTAAGGCATAAGCTTACAAGGTCTGCAGAAAGACTAGTCACCCAATGCAATTTATTCTGACTCAGAGCTGACCAGCATTTTCTCCGACACCTAAATGCTTCTGTAAACACACGGTTATGTGGAAAATATCTTGTTCAATTCAAATATACTGTGTAGGTAAAATTAACAAGAAGGTAACTAAAAATAGATTACTTCGCTGAGCGCAGCTGGATACGACCACAGATGTCCAACACTGAAAAGTTGGGGCCAAAATGGACACAATATTCACGCTTGATTCAGGTCTGAATTTGGATTGTAATTAAATTTTTGACACATAATAGGTTTCTGACACAGAATAACTGTAGTCAAAGAACTTCAAATTGTTCAAATTGGTTATATGATTAGAATTTATATTCAATTTTTTTCTTTTGTGCAATACACTATGCGAATTGACCCCCCCGCCCCCAAAAAAAAAAATAACCCCTTTTTTTGCGTTTGTGCAATACACTATGCTGTTGAATATTAACCCCCCAAAAAAAAAATATTTGAAGAAATTTTTTTTTAATTTCTGAAATCTGAAATGAGAAAAATTGTCCCCCTCCAATTTTTTTCACCTCCCCCCTTTCCCTTATTCTAAAATATAATTCTTTCCCTCAAGTTATGGTCAGTATCTCAGACAATCATCATTTCTTAATACATAATTTACAAGCAGTGTAAGGGAGGTAATCAAACATTGTTATTTAAATTGAATTGGATTTTGATTTGGATTACCTCCCTTACAATGCTTTTAAATTGTCACAATTGTCCTTTAACCAGAAAAACCCTTGTTTTTCACCTTTTTTGCCCCTAATTCCTAAATGGTTTGAGCCATAACCCCACAAAGTCAATCCTAACCATCCCTTTGTAGCATGGAAACTTGCGGTATAATTTCAGAGAGATTCATACACTTGAACACAAGTTTTTCTGGAAACTACAAAAATGCTTATTTGGGCCCCTTATTCCTAAACAGTTGGGACCATAACCCCCAAAATCAATCCCAACCTTCCTTTAGTGGTTATAAACCTTGTGTTAATATTTTATTGATTTCTATTTACTTATACTAAAGTTATTATCCAGAAACCATCTGTCTTCGGACGACGCTGACAACGACAACCTGATACCAATATACGACCAAAATTTTTTTAATTTTTGCGGTCGGACCAAAATTTTTTTAATTTTTGCGGTCGTATAAAAATAAAGTTAAGAAACTCTTTGTGACTGTACATGTTATATAATAAACTTACGGAAGCTTTATCTAAAACTTTCAAGTCTTTTCTATCGGTTATCCCCCTTTCCAGTAATGCTTTCTCCAAGGTAAACAAAGGTAGATTCTCCCACTTTCCGAACACTACTAAATCGATGTCACTGAAAGAGAAAATGAAATTGCTGATGAAATATCAAATTTTGAACATAATCATAATTCAAACGTCATTTTAATATAACAGTTTGGTCATGTTGATCAACCTTCAAACATACTTCTACCATTTTAATAAACATGTGTAGCAGTCTAGTTTTTCTGTCTCGATCTTTAAATCACCTCTTGGTACATGTAGATGTACATGTACTTTAATATAATCAAGTTTAGTTTTTTGCACACTGATATGGTAAATACATGCATATGCTGAAGTCATGGATAACCCTTTGAAGCTTTACAGATATGAATATAAACCAGGATACTTTGTACTTGGTAAATTATTTATGTGTATAATTTGATAGTCAGCAGAAGTCATGTCACCACATTTTGACACATTACTCTTACTTCAAGCTGACCTTCACTCTAACCCCTAAATGCAGCATGCTTTGTTGAAATTAAAGCTGTAAAATATCAATTTTAAAATCTTTGGTTTGACTTGGTCCAGGACTAAACCTAGGGTCTCCTGCAACTAAAGGCAAGAATGATTTCATAAAAAACCAAGGAAGTTTGTGATCAAACCACAGGTTTAATCCAAGTTAAAAACCTAATAAACGGGGAATGTGTCCATGGGACACAGATGATGCCCCCGCTTGCATTTCATATAAAGTTATAAAGGGACATAACTGACATGACTGAAGAACGGTAAAAGTGACGCTACCCAAATTTGTACTTAATCTGAGTTTTGTGGTAGTAAGTATTGTATAAGTTTCATAACATTTGGTTGAGACAAACTTAAGTTAGAGAACATAAACGAAATATTCAGCAATTTTTCCATTTGTAAAGGGGCACAACTCTAGAACAGTTTAAGTGACACCACCAAAATTCAAACTTGTTCTGTATTTTGTGGTAATAAGCATTGTGTATAAGTTTCATAACATTTGGTTGAGGCAAACTAAAGTTAGAGAATGGAAACGAAAAATTCAGCAATTTTCTCCATTTGTAAAGGGACATAACTCTAAAGCAGTTAAAGTGACGCCACCAAAGTTCAATCTTGATCTGTGTTTTGTGGTAATAAGCATTGTGTATAAGATTCATAACATTTGGTTGAGGCAAACTAAAATTAGAGAATGGAAAGAAAAATTCAGCAATTTTTCCATTTGTAAAGTAGTGTTTTCTGCAGGATGTTTTGGCGTGGTATGGCGCCCTGCCGTCTTTTTCTTGACGCCCTGCCCTTTTTAGGAAAAAAAGTTGGCGCCATGTCCCTTTTCCGTCATATTTTAGAACGCCCAACTGTAATTAAATATCGGTTCAGCAATTCATCTTTCAGCAAGACGGCCACAGACCACAATTAAATTCCCCTATTAGTTCTTTATAACGTTTTGTTTCATTAAAAAAACATTTTTGTCAAATCTTTTGTGTGTGTAATGTATAGTACTAGTCCAAAAATATATCCAAAATTCAGAAAGATTGAACCAATGACTCTTACAAATTTAGCCAATACACATCCATACCCCTATGGACAAGTCAAGAGATGTTCCGAAAACTGTAAATATCACCTTTTTGCACCTGGCCTAATCACTCTTTCCATATCAAAATCAGTTAAAATACAACATCCAAAAGTTTATTTCACCTCTCTTCTTTTATTTCCACCCACAAAAAACTAAGAAATGAGTGAGGAAGGGAAAGAAAAAAAATTAAGAAAAAATACACTCTAATTAAAAGGAACTATATTCGTGGACAACGAAAAGCGGGATCATTAATTGTGGTCTTGGGCCTATTAGGGGTCTAAAACTTGACCAATTCTAATAAAACTTGGCATGATTTAAGCTTAGTGTATTATAAAACAGTTTACAAAGTTTCAAAGCCATATGATACCAATTATAAAAAATGTGGCATTTTTTATATCTGAACTTTGGGTGCTGAATTGTGGCGTTGAATTAGAACAATTTCAACTATCAAATTTGGGCTTCTAAAAACCAAAATATACCAAAACTTACATTTTTTAATGTTTCTATGTATAAGTTATCACCTATTAAAAGCAACAGATAGCATACTTCGTGTTTCAGACTTATAAAAAATGGCCAGAAGTAAATTTTATATGAGCCTGTGCCAAAAAATAGAGGTTTTCAAATGATGTGAGGCCTTATATGAAATGTAATATTTTTCACTTACCACAATTTTCTGAAGTTGTTAAGTTATAAAAAAACCTTTTACATGTTATAAATGTACTTTTAATGGAAATATAAGTTTCAAATAGCATAACACATGTGAATAAAATTGTCTTCAGCAATGTCAAGCTTAATAAAATGCTTCGCTGGGCGCAGCTTGATACGACCGCAGAGGTCGAACCCTGAACAGTTGGGGCAAGTATGGACACAACATTCAAGCTTGATACAGCTCTGAATTTGGATTGTGATTAAATATTTGACACGGCATAGGTTTCTGACACAGAAAGAATGTGGTCTAAGAACTTCAATTTTTTTAATTTACCTATTATGGTCCAATGTCCAAAATCAAAATACATGGTTAGATTCAGCATATCAAAGAACCCCATATATTCAATTTTTGTTGAAATCAAACAAAGTTTAATTTTGGACCCCAACTTGGACAAACTTGAAAACTGAACCTATAATCAAAAATCTAAACACATGTTTAGATTCAGCATATCAAAGTACCCCAAGAATTCAATTTTTGTTAAAATCAAACTAAGTTTAATTTTGGACCCTTTGGACCTTAATGTAGACCAATTTAAAAAACAGGACCCAAAATTAAAAATCTAAAAACACGGTTAGATTTGGCATATCAAAGAACCCCAATAATTCAATTTTTGATGAAATCAAACAAAGTTTAATTTTGGACCCTTTTGACCTCAATATGAACCAATTTGAAAGCAGGCCCACAAAATAAAAAATCTAAATACATGGTAAGATTCAGCATATCAAAGAACCCCATATATTCAATTTTTGTTGAAATCAAACAAAGTTTAATTTTGGACCCCAATTTTGACCAACTTGAAAACTGGGCCAAAAAACTAAAATCTAAATACATGTTTAGATTCAGCATATCAAAGAACCCCATATATTCAATTTTTGTTGAAATCAAACAAAGTTTAATTTTGGACCCCAACTTGGACCAACTTGAAAACTGGTCCCATAATCAAAAATCTAAACACATGTTTAGATTCAGCATATCAAAGAACCCCAAAAATTCAATTTTTCTTAAAATCAAACTAAGTTTAATTTTGGACCCTTTGGACCTTAATGTAGACCAATTTAAATAAAATGCTCCGCTGGGGCGCAGCTTGATACGACCGCAGAGGTCGAACCCTGAACAGTTGGGGCAAGTATGGACACAACATTCAAGCTTGATACAGCACTGAATTTGGATTGTAATTAAATATTTGACACAGCATAGGTTTCTGACACAGAATGAAAGTGGTCTAAGAACTTAAAAATTTTCAATTTACCTATTCATACATGTGATGGACTGTGAAACTCAGATCAGGAGATTGGGAAATTTTGGTCAGGAGATTAGGACTCAGATCAGGAGGTTTTTAATCGACATTAATTTTGTTGTAAATGTAACCGTGTGCTGTAAAAATGGTCTTTTAAAGTGTGTTTTCTTCAACTTTCCATCCAATTTATTATGTTTATAGTACCCTTGTACTTATAAAGTTTCTCCATCTTTATATTCTACATGTTCAATCTAACATTGTATTTTTCCAGTATGTTCTTTAAATTTTTTACTTCATATTCTATAAAACAATCATTGCAACCAGAACATTTGTTTAGCTATTTGCAAATAGTTTTTATTTTTTTTTTTTCTCTTGCATATAGTTTTTATTTGCAAACTCAGAAAATCATTTTATCTGTAAATTTAGGGTCATAGTTATTATATAAATTTCAATTTAAGCCTTGAAAGGAAGTCTAGAATCCTCAAATAATTTTCAAATTATTATTTTTTTATTTGTCCTAAGACATTTAAAATCATTTAATAACCATCCTTTTATGATTATTTGTTCAATTTATATTTTATTTATATTCTTTTAAAAATTTTCATTATTAAAAGGAAAGTAACTTAAAACAGGATAAATCAAGGGAAGTAACCCAATAAATACACAGTTTTTGTTACACAACGGCAGTTAGCCTGAGGTAAAAATCGTTGATTACCTGTATGTTTGACACCCAAGCTGACAAGTGAAGCCATATAATTATGCATGTTAATTGATTTACAGGTAAAATATAACTTCAGGTAATGTCAGTTATACCAGATGCCTGAGATGATATGTTGGGCAGAAATTTTTCATTCATGAAAAATTTCATACACGGGATTTTTTCCTCTTCAACGGGAGGTCGGGAGGAGACCCCTGAAAACGGGATTATTGTATTCCCGTCGGGAGGTTCACATGTATGCCTATTCAAACCATATCATTATTATTTGCTTTTATATATAAATCAGAAATAACCAATTTAAAATGGAAAATGTTAAAGAAAAAAAAGATTCCCCCCCAATTTTTTGAACCCCCTTATGATTCATCACCCCCAAACTCAATCCCAGCTTTCCCTTTGTGGTATGGTACCTTGCAGTACAATTTCAGAGAGATTCATACACTTGAACACAAGTTATTGTCTGGAAACTAGAAAAATGCTTGTTTTTTGGCCCCTTTTTGGCCCCAAATTCCTAAACGTTTAGGGCAATTACCCCAAAACTCAATTCCAGCTTTCCCTTTGTGATATGGAACCTTGCAGTACAATTTCATAAAGATCCATACACTTACACACAAGTTATTGTCCTGAAACTAGAAAAATGCATGTTTTTTTTGCCCTTTTATGGCCCCTAATTACTAAAATTTTGAGGGAAAACCCCCAAAATCAATCCCAGCCTTCCCTTTGTGATATGGAACCTTGTAGTACAATTTCATAAAGATCCATACACTTACAAACAAGTTATTGTCATGAAACTAGAAAAATGCTTGTTTTTTGCCCCTTTTTGGCCCCTAATTCCTAAAATT